GCTTTGGTGAAATAAATTAATTTCCAAATAACAAAGTGATTGGTTATTGTAGAATTATATCTGGTTAGTAGGTAGAATGGGAAGGAACTTAAAGCCTATGACATACTTCATATTTTAGGACTTAAGTGCCTACTTGGCTTATATTGATTTTTCACTCGGCTCATTTCCGTTTGGTAATCCTCACACTATAGGGATTTTTGCACGTGAACATGGATCAAATAAGAAATTGGCAGCACAATCCTGTGCCCTCTCACTTGTCAGACAACTCTATCACCTTGGAGTGATTGAAGCTTACTCTGGGCTTACAAAGAAGAAGGAAGGAGAGAGAGTAAGTCTTTAGATTTAAATGTTTCAGTAAGTTAGTTTGGTGTTAGTATTTGTCTAAAGAAGTTGAATGTAATGGGAAGAATTTAGTTTTTTAAAATTAACAGGGTTGGAAATCAGGTTTTGTGACGTGTACAAATTCCTAAGCTGTATCCTGAGAGCTAGAAGTCTTAAAATGGGGCTGGAGAGATGGCTCAGCATCTTGCAGAAGGCCTGGGTTAGCACCCACATGGCAGCAACAACTGTAACTCCAGTTCCAGGGACTCTGCCCTCTTCTGGCCTACACAGGCATTGCACAACATGGGTGCACTTAACATACATGCAGGCATAACACATAAAAATAATAAATTTTTTTTTACATTAAAATGGCTGTACTAAATTAATCAGCTTTGTTTGGCAATATGCTATATGGCCAGCCAGTAAATGGACGCCATTCTCACTAAAATTTGGTTTAGGGATATTGTAGCCGTGTGCTCTTAGCTCCTTTGTAGTAGTTTTTAGATATGTTCGTATATGTGCCAACTAATTTTTACTATTCCTTCTCTGTAGGTGGAGCCTTACAAAGTTTTCCTCTCCCAGGATTTGGAACTTCAGCTGCAAAATGTAGTTCAAGAGCTAGATCTTGAAATTGTGCCCCCAGTAAGTATACATAGTAGCATTTCAAGTTTACCTTATAAAGCAATTCCCTCATTAGACAAGTGTCTTATTGTTTCCTTCTTTTTGTTTATTAGCCTGTTGATCCTTCTATGCCAGTTATACTCAACATTGGGAAATTGGCTCATTTTGAACCATCTCAAAGGCAAAATGCAGTGGGGGTGGTTCCTTGGTCACCACCACAGTCCAACTGGAATCCTTGGACTAGTAGCAACATTGATGAGGGGCCCCTGGCTTATGTAAGTACAACATTGCTTTTGGGATAATTTTGTGGGTTTTTTTTTCTTCTGTATAGTTCATCAGTCTATTAAAAAATATTTTGAATATTCCTATATCACAGGCTACTACAGAGCAAATAAGCATGGATCTTAAGAATGAATTAACATACCAGCTGGAACAAGATCATAATTTACAAGGCGTAAGTTGTAAAAATTATGTATTGCTTAGAAGTCGAACATTCTAGTTCTGTTATTTCCCCATGTTTAGGAGGCTAAATAAAGTTTTGCCAAACTGCCTTCTGAGTGGTGGCTGTTAGTTGGGCCTAGAAATGAATTGTCCTACTTAATAAAATGTAAGTGGATACAAATATAAGTGGAGAGGCTGGGAATGGTAAAATTTGTTTCTCTTGATTAAATAAAATATAAACATTTGTAATAAACACAAAATGAATGGAAGTGGAATGTTCTTAGAGAACTAGGCAAAAGGGGTTGAAAAACTCAAACTTTAGAAATTTTGTGAAACATTCTATAATAGATAAGAGTTTCATTCTTAAATATTTTGAGTACTAAACCAGTTGGAAAGCAGTTTTTTTAAAAACATGGCATTTTCTTAAAGGACTAAAAAATTTCTTTAAATGAGATTTGACTATTTTAACTTTGCTAACACAGGTCTTACAAGAAAGAGAGTTACTGCCTGTGAAGAAGTTTGAAGCCGAAATCTTGGAAGCAATTAGTCAGAATTCAGTTGTCATTATCCGAGGTGCTACTGGATGCGGTAAAACCACACAAGTTCCACAGTACATTTTAGATGACTTTATCCAGAATGACAGAGCAGCAGAGTGTAATATTGTTGTGACTCAGGTGAGTAGCAAGCCATGTGGTATAGTGATAGTTTTTTGCGAGGTTTCCTTTGATCAGTTCTCCTTTTGCCAAGATAAGATTCTGAGCATGTTAGTGTAATAACACATGATAAGGGCAGTACTGGGGTTTTAACACGGCTCTTTGATAGTGCTAGGCATACGCTATAACTACTGAACTAGAATCCTAGCTTCTTTATATTTTAACTTTGCAAGTAGGGCTCTTTCTGCTGACTAGACTTGCCTTGAATTCATTCTGTAGCTTAGACAAACCTTGAACTTAAATCTCAGGTAGCTGGAATTACAGACTTGGAACAACAGGCCCATAAAGGAACTTAGGTGACTCTGAGAACACACTACCCATTCTCTTGGTGTGATGTACTTTGCTTTAAACCTTGTGCTTATACCTTAAAATATTTTGAGACACACAGCATTAATTTCAGCATTTGTGAGGCAGAGGCCAGTGGATCATCTAGGTTCATAGCAAGACTGCCTCAAAAAAATAAAAAGGAAGAAAAGAACTTAAGTGCTTTTCTTAATTTCCGATGTTAACTGAACCAGGAATTAAAGTGAATCCTTAGCATAGAATCAAACTCCATGGGAGTTATTCCTCAAGACCATTTTCAAGTAATCATTATGCTCTGTCTCATCACTTTAATACTAAGTAAAAGCAGCCTGCAAAAGAATAAGCAAGCCAGCAAAACAGGTAATGGTCCCCCAAAGTTTTTAAAGGTTGATTTTTGGGGAAACTCATTTTAAGTTCATGACCCTGATACTACTTGATTTATCATTTCTCTACAAACAAATTAGGGGAGTAGCCCTAGCTGGCCTGGATTTGCTATGGAGACCAGGCTGGACTCAGATCTGCCTGCCTCTGCCTCCTGAGTGCTGGGATTAAAGGTGTGCACCCCTATGCCCAGCATGATTTTCTTAAATACTGTATGTGATCTTAACTATTAGTAACCAATGTTGAGAAGCTTGTCTTGTTGTACTTTCCCATGCATTCTCCAGTTACTATTAAAAGTTTCCTATTGGTGCTAACCTTGTATTTCTGCCATTTTGTAAAAGATTTATTTTTTTATTTTTGAGACAGGGTCTCCTTATAGCCCCAGCTGTCCTGGAACTCACTGTGTAGACCAGGCTGGCCTTGAACTCACAGAGATCCGCCTGCCTCTGCCTCCTGAGTGCTGGGATTAAAGGCATGTGCCACCACACCTGGCAAAAGATTTATTTTTAAATTTTCATGTGTTTGTATGACTGACTGTTCAAGAGGCCAGAAGAGAGAACCAGATTTCTTGGCAGTTGTGAGCCCCCCTTATGTGGGTGTTGGAAACTGAACCCAGGTCTTGAAGAGCAGCCAATGCTCATAAACGCTGAGCCATCTCTCCAGCCCCCCCCCCCTTAACAGCTCTTAGAGGAACATAAACAGTATTAAGTTGAAGGTCATGAACTTTGAAATTTTATATAAAAAGGGTCTTTTAAAAAGGGTTTTTTTATGTACATGCACAAAGTTTAATAAGGCAGTTTATTTGTAAAACCCACAAGTATTTGGATTCAGCAGTAAGCTGATGGATCTACGCTATTCTACATTTGATATGGAAGACAGTCTTTCACTGTGGCTACTTCATAAAATGAGTTAACCATCAAAGTGAAGGCTATCTTCAGAGAAGTCACTATCGCATTTACTTGGGTGGGGTGTTAAAAATGGCGACTACCAAACTTCTGCTTAAATTAACAAATAAGTGTAATTTTGATATAAAATTGATTTTATTTTTAGCCAAGAAGGATCAGTGCTGTTGCTGTAGCAGAGCGAGTTGCGTACGAGAGAGGTGAAGAGCCTGGGAAAAGCTGTGGCTACAGTGTCCGATTTGAGTCTATACTTCCACGCCCTCATGCCAGTATAATGTTTTGCACCGTAGGTCAGTAATTACTGATCTCTAATTTGTACTTTATTAAGCCTTTATTACAAAAACTAATAAGGAAACAAGATGTATAGAGCTAGCATTAGAATTGTAAGGAATTCTGGCAACTTTTCTTGATAGGCATAATGGTTTTTTGAAAATTAAAGTTCAACCATACACTAACTTATTTGACTTTAAGGAAACCTGAAATTGAATGAGTTTCAGGATATCCTACCACATTTCATATTTATTAATTATGCAGGCTACCTACTAATTGCTAGGCATGTACTTAAGTGAAGTTGATTTTCTGGAATTGTGTGATTCTGTTACTGTCTACTTCTCTAACACATTTTACTTTTCTTTTCAAGGTGTGCTTCTAAGAAAACTAGAAGCAGGCATTCGAGGGATCAGTCATGTGATTGTGGATGAAATCCATGAACGAGACATTAATGTAAGTAATTTGTGAGTTAAAGGTAGATACTGAATTTCCTTTTTCCCATTGCTTAAACAAAGAGCCTGTGATCTGGGCGTGGTAAGGCATGCCTTTAATCTCAGCAGTTGGGATTCAGACCTGCAGATGTCTGATTTGGTTACATGCCCCTACAATATAATGAGAGGCCTTGTCTCCAAGGGAAAAAAAAAACCAAGGTGGGTGTGGTGGTTCACACCTTTAGTCCCAGCATTTGAGGCAGAGGCAGGTGGATCTGAGTTCAAGTCCAGCGGGAGCTCAAGGGAGACCATGTGTCAAAAACGCCACACACACACACACCCCCGAAAAGAAACCCCACAATTTCAGTTGGCTAAAATGCTTAATAAGAGCTTACATAATACAGCAGCTGAGTAATGGTTTATGACTTTATATTGCATTTGAGAGCAGTTTTATCCACTCATACAGGGAACCTCCTTTCAGTTTACATAAAATTTCATTTAACACAAAACACAGTCTTTTGAGATAAACCTTTTAAGTAAAAGGATTACTTTAAGTGTGTTCAATGAAAAGTGCACATAGGCGGGAATTGTAATTCAGTTATGTCTTGACACTTTCTAATCATTTTTTAAGGTTTTTGGGCATTTTTTTGTTTGAATGAACCAATGACTAACATTTTAGACAAGTTTTATAGATTGACCTAACCCTTTTCATTGACTTTTACTAAGCAAGGATTTCCATGTCTCTAATTAAAGTTGCTATAAATTTTTCTTCAGGGGGAAAAAAATTGTTTGCCTCCCTTAAAAAACGTTTTTTTAGTATTTCTTAAGCCCCCCCCCCAACACGCATTTTTGTTGTTGTTGGGAGATAGATTGCTATTCTTACAATGATGCCCAGACTATCTTCAGAGTTGGGAGACTTTGTTGTGGCTCTTGCTGTAGCACTGTAAGCTGTTGTACTTTTTGCCAGTCCCTATGGTCCTGAGAAGGTAGACAAAGTAGAATCAAAATATGAAGGGCAACCACTGCAACGTAGTGAATTTAAAACCAGATTTAGATACCATATGACAGACTGTCTTTAAAAGGGACTGGGGCCGGGGAGATTCACTATACCCTGATGTGGTTTTTACCTGTCCCCTTTGAAACTGAATTAATGTCTTCTATTGACACAAGAAATTCTTCAGGTGTGTTTTGTGACATGCTTTTCATTTGTGTTTCTATTTCAACAGACTGACTTTCTTTTAGTGGTACTGCGAGATGTGGTTTTAGCCTACCCTGAAGTTCGCATTGTTCTTATGTCTGCTACTATTGATACCAGCATGTTTTGTGAATATTTCTTCAATTGCCCCATCATTGAAGTTTATGGAAGAACTTTCCCAGTTCAAGGTAATTTTGTCAAAGTATGGTAGGACAGTGAATATCTTTACCTCAGTGCAGTTAGACTTTTTTTTTGAAACAAGTCTAGTTTTGGACTCAGCCTCCTGTGTGCTAGGACTAAAGGTAGACACTACCATGATAACCATTTTCTTTGGTTTCTAAGAAAATATTTATTTAGGCAAGAGCTTGGTAGTGCACACCCTTAATCCTAGCACTTGGGACGCAGAGGCAGGCAGATCTCAGTTCCAGGCTAACTGAGGCCATACATGAATGTAAGTACACCTGTATTGTGCAGTGCCCTGGAGGACAGAAGAGGGTGTCAAATTCCTTGAACCTATACAGATGGGTATTAGCCATCTTGGGAGTTCTGGGATTCAAACCTGGGTCTTCACCAAGAACAGCCAGTGTTCTTAACCACTGTGCCATCTCTCCAGTGTCCATGATTTTCTGGAGGTGGAGGGAGTGTTTTTGAGATCTGCATATCCATGCGTACAATGCCCGTGGAGGCCAGAAAAGAGGTGTAAGCTCTGGGGCTGCCTTGTGGATCCTGGGAACCAAACCCAGGTCTCATCAAGGGCACCCTAGTGGAAATTTTTTTGGTCTTCTGAGGCAGGGTAGGGTCTCCTTGAAGCCTCAGCTCTCCTGGCTGAAATCTGCCATGAAATCTGCCTCTGCCTCCCAAGTGCTAGGATTAAAGGTGTGTGTGCCACCACGCCTAGCAGTGGAAATTTCATTAGGAAATACTTATCACCATTTTCTAAGACAGGCATCTTAATTTCATTAAAATGACTTACTGCATGGCCTAATTGAAATGCAAACTTAAAATTTAACAATGTAGGTGAAATTATATGTATGAAATGATAAATATGTATGCCAATGGAGTTACAGTTTTCCCAGAATTGTAAAGTAAATGTAGGACTGGAAGATGGTTCATTCAGTAATGTCTTGCTATGCATGAGTGAAGACCTAAGTTCAAAAAAAGCATCTAGTCCTGGGGTTGTGGAGACAGGGATGGGAGGACTCCTAGAGTTTGCTGGCCCATCTGTCTGAATCACTCAACACAGGTTCAGTGACAAAGGAAACAAACTGAAAGAACTGAAAATAAACCAAAACTGCAATTTGCAAAAAACCAATTTGCGAAAAAGTAAATAATAGCACTAGAGGCAGCTTTGTATTGAATTTCTTCAAAGTAACAGTTTAAAAAAGACCATTTTATGTGTATTGTGGAAGGAGGATGGATTCTGCTAATGTAAGGGGAAACCTGAGATGCCTTTATATGAATATGTATAAAAGATGTGTCAGTGTCCCTCAGGGTCTGAGAAGTTAGCACTGGTACAGATTATGAAAGTTACCAATATTTTGTGAAGTTGAAGGGAACTAAGTAATGTTGCTGTAGATTTGCACATGAAATTAAAACCACCGTTCTGAAAGCTGGTAGCATTATATAACTTGATTATTCCTGACAGAATACTTTCTGGAAGACTGCATCCAGATGACCCAATTTGTTCCTCCTCCAAAGGACAAGAAAAAGAAGGATAAAGAAGATGATGGTGGTGAAGACGATGATGTAAGTAGATTTCATAAAGAATCTTCCCCTTTTGATTTTGCTGCCTTTGAACCCAGGATTATCTTGTGCCAGCCTCTTAAGTGCTTGGATTACAAGTGTTGTCATAAACATAGTTCATGGAGGTATTTCATTGTGAGAAAGCTATAACTGGAGAAAAGTACAAGTAATTTTTTTTTAAGTAAAATCATAGCATAATACTGGGATTACAGAACTCCTAAATTGATTGTAATATCTGTCTTTAGATTAATTTAAACTAGTAAATTCCATGTTTAATGATACTCAAGAGACTGACAACAACATGTAATTTGTCATAAGAAC